TTCCTTCCTTCCTTCCTTCCTTCCTTCCTTCCTTCCTTCCTTCCTTCCTTCCATCTGTTAGCCTGTGATCTTAAAGCAATGCATTGCTGTTTGAATTCCGACTCAGGTCATAGCCCTTTCCAGAGGCACTGTTGCACACATCTCTCCCCTGCTAACCTGTTTTCTGGCCGTTCTTTCCTTGGTAGTTGTCTGGCTCAGAATTGCAGTTGTATCCTTGATGCAGTGTCTGGCTACTTCCTCTTGGAAATTTTTGTTCCTAAGCAGTTAAGATGCTTCCATCTCAGATAATTAGAGGAGTTATCTCTCCTTTTGCTTTTGCTTGTCTCACATAACGAATGTCTACACACCCTCTTCCAATGTAAGATTCTAATCTCTTGAACTTAGAGTTACATGTGCTTCTACTTCACAATGCTTGAGTGTAGGGGTGCTCAACATACTTTTATTAAATAAGTAACAGAATTAATATATTCAAATGAAGTGCTGTTTTGAAAGCATGTAATGTCTGACTTAGGAAGGCAAAGGAAATTCCTCAAATACATTTAAAAATCATTTTTATATCCACATGACAAAAAATGAATTGTAAGATTCCACATCATAGAATACTGAAAATGTTTATAGCCCAAACCTTTCATAGAAAACATTGCCCAAATCAGTAATAGGCCAGTGGGCACACCTATTAAAGCAGAGATAGGCAGCCCAGGGAATTCTAGGTAGAGGTCTGGGAACGAGTCCAGAGTCCAGACCACAGAGTGGAGTAGGGAGGCCTCCAGGAAGGACTAATCACCAAGATCAAATGAACAAGTCCAGGAAAGGCTGGGGCTCAAGAACATCTTGATTTAGCTCCATCTTCAAGTTGTAACTTGAGAGATCTGTATGGGGGTGGCAGGTGGGACTCTCTACAGGGTTAACTGCACACCTCTCTCAGCCACTGTTGAATCCTTAGTCACTCCTTGGGGTTCTCTTTGTCTTTCCTTCTCTCCATATAGATGATTATACATATGATTATATACTATGTATAACAATATATCATATGGAGTAATTATATAAAGCATTAAATACAGCATTGTGTATAATATGCTATTATATAATCTATAATTTTATATTATTTAAAGGTTTGTCATGTTGGTGAATGAACTTATGGCTTTGCACATACTAAGCAAGTACTCTACCTCTGGCCTACATTCCTAGCCCTTTAATTTCTTTCTTTCTTTGAGACACAATTTCACTATGTAGCCCAGGCTAGCCTCCAAACTCCTGCCTCAGCCTCCCTAGCGTTGTGTTGACAATCTTAGTCTATATTTGTTCTCTGAATTTTACAAAGTTTCTCGCCTTCAATGATTCCCATAAGTTTGGGTAAGAATGCAGGGGAGACACCCACATGAGCCTTTTAGAGGAAGTGCAATGTTGCCTAATAAGCATAAAATAAATCCCAAAGAAAATATTTTATATGATTCTTATGGTTTAGCAGACAGTAACACAAAATACAACTGGGTGACAACAACCCCTACTTTTGGGTGTAACACATATATATAAGAACATTTGGGGGGAGTTGAGACAGGGTTTTCCCAAGGCCCTAGCTGGCCTGGAACTTGCTATGTAGACCAGGCTGATCTTGATCTCGTAGAGATCTGCTTGTCTCTGCCTCCCAAGTGCTGGGATAAAAGATGAGTGCTGCCACGACCAGCCATATAAGAGCTACAACTCTATGTTGAGTCTGAGGCATAAAAATACAATGAATCTTCTTTAAATTTATTTTTTACTAGCATAGAAAGAATTAGAATTAGGTTTCGTTGTGGCACCTTTTGGACTTATTTTGTTTATTTTTCTCCTTCTCCCACACCTACCTTCCCTGCTTTGTAACTTCCTTCCCACCCCCAGTGGCATGGAATCCTAAACTGTATAGGAATGGAGAAGTGAGTTGAACACAAGCAAACAAGCAAGCAATCATTTATTCAGACTATACCCCACAGACATGCCCACAAGCCGACCCAATGTAGAAAATCCCTCACTGAGACTCTCTTTCCAGTTGCTTCTAGGTTGTGTCAACTTGACAAAGCTAACCATTACACTAACAAGTTACCGGGATAGATCCTTGACCGTCTCTTGCATCTGTCTCATTGAATATAGCCCACATTTTGCCAGGTTATAGCAACATAATTAATACTGTATGCTTACTTTCTGTAGTTGTAACAAATTGCAGACACACACTTCGAAAAGTATATTCAAAGCCAGGCATGGTGGCACACATCTTTAACACCAGCACTTGGGAGGCAGAAGCAGGTGAATCTCTGTGAGATCAAGGCCAGCCTGGTCTACATAGGGAGTCCCAGGCCAGCTGGGATTTTACGGAGACCCCATCTTAAAAAAATATATTCAAAGTATATAGTTCAGAATTTTCTAATGATATATTCAAGGTATAATATTTTGCTATCATTAAAATATTTCAGCCCATGATAGAAAACATATGATTAAAATTAACTGATCAGTAATCATGCTAGAAAACAGAGGAAGATTTCATATGAGAAAGTAAGTGGAATGCCTGAAAGTGAGATGGGATTGAACTGAAGGACAGAGAAACAACCCCAAGTGGGCAGGAAAACAGCTCCCCAAGTGGAAACAGCCCTGGGTTCCCTTCAAGTTTGAAGCAGGAGAACACCAGAAATCAGAGGGGCCTGGGGACCCTCATATGAAGATAGCAAGGCAGGTAATCTGTCTCAGATACCCTTTGACTAAGCAATTTTTCAAAAAGCACAATACAAGCAATTGAGGATTGCTTCAAAGTGAGACTGGCATGCTGAGGTGTTAGATGAAAAGGCAGGACCACCCCAGGAAGGCAGAGATTTCAGACCAAAAGGAAGAGCCGGTGAACAGTATGGGCAAGTGTCGCCAGACACTGCCTCTGCAGAGGTCTGAGAGTGAGGCTTTCTAGCTCTCTACCATAGATGCTGCCCTGGGTGAGTCTTGGCCTCCTGTGGGGAAGTCTGATTTGAACACAGACTGTTGTTCCAGTGCAAGGGCAATGTCTGTGTACCTGAAGAACCCGAGCATCAAGTTTAATTTAAAATAGTCTTGTGTTAGTGATATACCCAAACATTTTATAGAATCACGAAAATGTAGGATATGAGGAAATTTTGAGACTAACACATCTGTTTTCTGTCTCCATTAGGCTGAAGGTTATATATAGCTGTATGCACCAAAGTTAATAGAACCGTACATGTTTTAAACAACTTAAATTTCTCAAGAATTTCACTCTAAATTATAATGTAATACAGATATTAAAACTTATTTAAACTGAAAGAGTGATGACTACCCTACACATAAACGTGTATGTGTGTGCGTGTGTGTGTGTGTGTGTGGTGTGTATGTATGTGTGTGTGGTGTGTGTGTGTGTGCATGTGTGTGTGGTGTGTATGTATGTGTGTGTATGTGTGTGTGTGGTGTGTGTGTGTGTGTGTGGTATGTGTTTGCATGTATTCACATGTCTGCAGGTAAGTGCTGGCACCTGTATCTCCTTACTTTTTGAGACACAGTCTCAGTGAATTTGGAACTCAGGGATTCAGCAAGACTAGCTCATCATCAAACCTCAGGGATCATGCTGTTTCCACTTTCACAGTCAGGGAATGATAGTCAGGCTCTGCTACACCTGGCTTTTACGTGGGTGCTGGGATCTTAACTCGGGTCTTCCCGTTGCTTGCATACCAGCACGTTATGAGCTGAACCATCTCCCCAGCTTCCACACGAATTCTTTTTGGAGCTATGGTTTTCTCAAATCTATAGTTGTGTTTTAACATGTCATGGTGTTTTTCCTTGGCAGATGATTGTGATGCTCCGCTGGCCTCTGCTTTGCCTCAGATGTCCTTCAGCAGCTCCTCCCAGCTGTCCAGCAGCCATGGCCCTGGCTTTGCAAGACTGAATCGAAGAGATGGTGAGTGTATTTCTGCTTCATATTGATCTTTGGCAAAATCTTGTTGGATTTACATTTAATAAAATAATTATAGTTGATTGATGCTTTGTAGAAGGAAATAAAACCCCAAATAAGCATATTGATTCACACTTGAAAGTCTGAGGATGCATTTGCCATGAAGACACCATGGCTCCAGGTCTGGCTGGACCTCCCTTGGAACAGCTTCCCTCCTGACCATGGCAGCATTTGAACTTTTGAATCATTTCAACCTTTAAGTACTCACCTACAGCTTTGGAATCTGCTGTCTTCTTTTGCTTACCTGGAGTTTGCTGTTTTTTCTATTTCAAGTATCCATTTCTTGCATACATTGCCTCCAGATTATTTAATTAGTCCCATTTGGACAAGGAAATTGGAAGAATAATGACGCATTAAAGCAAAGATTTTTATTATGTGTTAACTGCAATTCTTGGTTTCTTGTTGCAGCTTATTTGACTCTCTAGCATCCACTGAGGAGGAATAAGTATATAATGTTTTATTCATGCTCCACTGTGGGTATTGTTATATTTGTAAACATATCTCACAAGGAGTGCATTTGCTTCTTATGTTTAGACCGAAGTGTAGGAAATCAAAGGTTAACTTGCTGTGTACTGTACTTTGGATAAGTGTTCTCTAAAGACCCCTATGTTAAAGGCTTATCAACAGCTTATTGCATTATTGGGTAGTGATGGAACCTTTAAGGAGATGGACCCAGCAGGAGGAAGTTAGACCATAGGCACAGGGAACACTGAAACTCCAGTTTCTCTCTCTCTCTCTCTCTCTCTCTCCCTCCCTCCCTCTCTCCCTCCTTTCTGGACACTCAAATATGAGAACTTCCTTACATTATGGGCCCACCATGATTTTCTGTCTTACTGTGACCTAAAGGCAATAGGGTCAAACAAACATGAACTGAAACCTCAGAAACTGTGAGCTAACATAAGCCATCCACTTCTTAATTGCCTCAGTATATTGTTGTAGTAGTAAAAGGCTAACATTTTGTATCAAAAAGAAACTTAAAATATCACTTACATACTGATGATGTACCATCCTGGCATCTTCAGGCAAACACTAAGATAAACATTCTTTGCATAAATCCTTAGGAATTTGAATTTGTGCACTATGAAGCTTTCTTTGTTTTTTTGTCTTTTCTCTTCTCCTATTTCCTGCACCTTTCCTTGTTTTCAATGTTTGAGCACATATGCTGTGTTACAGCATGTTGGATCCAATTAAGACATTATTGCTTTGAGGCTAGGGAGATAGCTCAGTGGTTGAGAGCACTTACTGCTCTTCCAGAGGACCCAAATTCAGTTTCTAGCACCCATATCAGGAGGCTTACAACTGCCTGAAACTCCAGCTCCAGGGTATCTGATGCTCTCTTCTGGTCTCAACTGCTACCTGTACAACATGGTAGGAACACACGTATACGTAAAGAAAAAATATCCTAAAAAGATGCATGGCCTTTATTATAGACAATATAATTATTAAAACAACTTCTAATTTTGTTCAAATGTATTTATGTCAATTTTCACATTTACAAGTATGCAAATAGCATAATATAGAAATTTGCAAATAACACATAAGGAAACCCATTTGATAAACTCTGTTCTGTTCTGTTATTTCATTCATTCCTGAGATTTGGGTTCTGATTCTGCACTGTAGATAATACACCTACAGAACCTGAATTAACACCACCATTATCACTACAGCAGCGTCAGCCATGAGGCACGGGGTGAGGGAGAGCAAGGCCATTTCCAGCCTTAGCCCTTCATGATTTCAAATCAAGCTTTGTATTAAAGAGCAGGACTGTGAGGATTCTCCATCACATGGAATGTTTTTGTTCTTAGTTCAGGTCCCTACAGCTTATAAAATGCAAAAGCATGGTATCAATTTTAATAAAATTAATTTTCATGTGAATGAAAAAAAATAGGCTCATTTTATGACTCTTATTACTGTAGTTAGCTATCAACTGAGTTGATGGTAGTTCATTGTGTTTTT